TCCTACTGGGGATGTGCCCGCAACCCAGGTACATGCCCTTGACCGGAATCGAACCTGGGACCTTTCAGTCCGCAGGCTGACGCTCTATCCACTGAGCCAAACCGGTTTTGGCTTTTGATCTATTTTTTATCCCTTCTCATATGAGTACATCTGGCTTTTTAATTTTAGGTTGTCCTTGCCATCATTTTTCTCCATTCACAATGCCATCAACCTAGTCAAAGCCCTTATCACTTTATTCCTGAATTACTTCAGAACTCCAGGTTCTTTCTAATTATTTTTCAAAATTGAGTGTTGAATGGAACTCCAGGATTGACTTGACTTTAATTTTTTAAATATGTTCCCTAAAATGTACAGATATAAACTTCTTATGGTAAAACCAAAGCATTACAAATTAAATACAATCAAGTCAGCAACACATATTTAATGATGTTATTTTGTTAAAACTGAATAAACATTAGAGCTTATAATAGAATGACAGCTTTAGGACCAGTTTTATAATAAACTAGAGGCCCAGTGCATAAAATTTGTGCACGGGGCGGGATGGTGGTCCCCTCAGCCCAGCCTGCACCCTCTCCAACCTGGGACCCCCTAGGGCAGTGATGGTGAACCTTTTGAGCTCGGCGTGTCAGCATTTTGAAAAACCCTAACTTAACTCTGGTGCCCTGTCACATATAGAAATTTTTTGATATTTGCAACCAGAGTAAAACAAAGATTTATATTTTTGATATTTATTTTATACATTTAAATGCCATTTAACAAAGAAAAATCAACCAAAAAAATGAGTTCGCGTGTCACCTCTGACACACTTGTCATAGGTTCGCCATCACTGCCCTAGGGGGATGTCCGACTGCCGGTTTAGGCCCGATCCCTAAACTGGCAGTTGGACATCCCTCTCACAATCCTGGGCCACTGGCTCCTAATCGCTCACCTGCCTGCCTGCCTGGTCGCCCCTAACTGTCCTCCCTTGCCGGCCTGATTGCGCCTTCACTGCCTCTGTGTCCTGGCCTGATCACCCCTAACTGCCC